GCAGAGAAGAAGCTGTTCTTAATTCAAGGAGACAAACCTCAACTGATGAATTGGGAGGAATATGGTCTAAGGATTGGAGTACAAGAAGGAAGCCTATTGTCCTCTGAGACAGTAGAAGCAGCAGTGGTTGCTCTTGTAGGAGGACAGTTCGAGTTTCCTCCTAATACTGTCCTAGTGAGTGCTGTGTATGCAGTATCACTCTCAAAGCCTCTCCTCAAACGACTCAAGTTAGAGATACAGCACTGCATTGATTTAACAGGACGACCAGATCTTGCACAATACTTAAAGTTTGCTATAGCTCCCGTAAGCACACCCAATCTTCCTTATCAATTTAAATTAGTTGAGGGAGGAGAGTTTAGCTCTAATACTGGGTATGGATCCATTCAACGTAAAAAATTCTGTTTGGTTTGTATACTGGGGGAAGAATGGACTAATGGAGGAGGTAATGGTGTCTTAATAGCATCAGTTAATGCAGTCACAGAGGGAGAAGAGGAAGAAGAGGAACAGCAACCACAACAAGAGGAGAATGAGGAGGAGGAAGACAATGATGATCAGGAGGAGGAGCAAAATGAAGAGAGAGGCAAAGAGGAAGAAGAGGATGATAATGATAGTAACAGTGATGATGATACCAGCACCAGCAGTACTCCACCAGGGGCTAGTGGAGCATGTAAAGGTTAGTTAGTGAGTCTATTGATGATAATGTAATGTATTCCACTACTGAATAGAGTCTACTACTAAAGAGACTAACCTCCCAACCAATACAGTGTCTGTTGCTGGTCCTACTACTATGCCAAACACTGATCATGTTAACAGTAAGTACATTGTACACACTCCATTGCTATTTGCTAATAATATTATAGAAGCACAGTCCACTGGTGTAAGGAAAGCTGTAACATATGCTGGTCTGGTTTATTATGAGGAGAAAGGTATAGAGGATATGGTAACATTCACTGCAGCTAAGAATTTGGAAGCACTTATTCAGGTGTGTGTACTATATTCATATGCACATGCAATGTGTTTATTATTATTTATAGTATATTGAACGAAAACACTCTCTAGCTGAGATTGGACCAGATACTTCCTTTAGTTTCAAGTTTCCTTATGATTATGTTGAATTAAATGTTACTGCAGAACAGGATGAACCATTCACTGGATGGATACTTAGACCTCACACTAAACCCACCAGAGTAAGCTATACTGTTTATAACACTAAGTCATATTGTGTACAGTTATATCAAGAGGCCATTGATAAATTTGGTGATAAGGAGCATTCTCGTCCTTCATGTTGTCTCATATCAGTTTATGGATCACCTGATGCTGTCCCTTTTCTTAATTACTTCATACCACTGGAAGGTGTGGTTCGTCCAGTTGCATTAAACATTCATAAGGCACGAAGAAATTTCACTGTTCTTGTCTCTCCTACAACAAGTAACAGATAAATCATTTCAATTGTTACTTAATATTAATCAGGTCCTACTACCTCCTCCTCCTCTTCTAATACAATTACTGAAGCTACTGCATCATCCACTGGAGGAGCTAGTAAGTAACACTGTGTGTGTGTGTGTGTGTGTGCGCACGGTTATGCATGGTTTGTTATATTGACCTTTGACCTCTATTAGGTGCATCAGCTACTGTTGATGTTGATAAAGTTAAGAAGGTGATTAACAGTGTTCTTGTGTCTCAGTTTGCTGCCCTTTCTTCTCTGCCTAAAGAAGCAATCCCTAAACTTGCTAATGAGCTTTATGCTGTTCATCTTATTAACAGTGCAGTCAGAGACAATCCTTCAGTTGAGAAGTTTATTGATGAGTTCAAGGCTAGTCTTACTTTCATGGCCGAAATGTCAGACGTTCAAGAGCACTGTTTAAAGTTTTTAAATTCATTCCTTGCTGTAAGTGGTAGCTTTACTAGTGCAGCAAAGTTTTTGTATCAGAAATGGATTGAAGCTATTAAAACTGAACTAGGCATTGATTTCATTATTAATATTAACTTTTAATGTATATTGTAACATTTCAGTATAATGTATCTTTATACCATTTGTAATGATCACTTTGTAATGTTTTTAAATGGTAAATTTTTTTTTCTGTGTGCATTGCCAAAGGGTGGCCCTACTAATATTCCACATTAAGTGGTACTGAAACTCTCTTCTTTCCTGATAGTGCTGGTCTTCACTTCCCTCCCTCTCACTCTTCCACTCCCACCTCTCCATTCCCATCCACAGTCATACCAGATGAGAATGTCCTCTTGGAAGCTGTTACTAATAAACTAGGAGTGGACTCCATTGATTGTATCAGAAAAAATTATAAAAACAGAATCCTCACCTTGTGACCAAATTTTGCCTAAAATGACATATCCACCTATGATGACATTGTCATCATAGGTGGATCTGTCATTTTAGGCAAAATTTGGCCAATAGCCCTGTATAGTACAGGACTTTGGCCCCGTTTTGGAGCAACTTTAAAAATTTTTTTTAAATCTAATTTTGATCTCCTCAGCATATGGTCAAATTTTGGGCAAAATTTGACCAATAACCAGTTCAGGGAGGCTAAACCCAATTGTTTTTGAGCTAAATAAATTAATAGATAAATAAAATAAATACTTAAATAATATTTGAAAAAATCCAACTTGATTGCAATTTGCTTAACTTTCACGTGAGATTAATATTAAATCATTTGAATGGATTGTGGCCATGATATTATTTGCTACAAAGAAGTGTTCATCAACTGAATTGCTTCAGAATAGTTAGATCAGAATGATGACTTGCTGTTAACTGATGAATTTTTTGTTTTTGCCACTGTGGCATTTCTATTGATTTTATTTACTTTANATTTGTAATTAGATTAATATTTGTAATTGATTTGT